GCCTTCCATAGATTCAAATCGGGGACGCTCCACTGCACTAATTGCTCTGTGTTAGGTGAGCATCATGAATTGAAAAAAATTAAAGTAAAATCCCTTCAGGCCATTCCTCTAGAAAAAGGCAAACACTCAAACTATAATTCTAACTCAAAATTTCACAAAAAATATAAACATGAACATCAGTTAGGGATTTTTGAAGCATTATCATGGTGTCATTTTGAGTTGAGCTATGTTGTCCCTGCCCCCACCCCACCCCATATTTTTTAAAAGCACCAATACCCCCGGTCAGCCTGTCCCAAATTACCTTAACAAGACTCGGCCTGGTGCTCTATGGGTAGAAACCATGGTAGCTACAGGATATTTATAAATAACCATCTCACTATGATTCTTTGCCAGGAGTTCATTTCCCCCCCTAATTATCGGTGATAAAGCATCACATCAATTGTATATCACTTAATTTATTATAATTAATGATTAATTGGATAATCATTGCATTAATCATTGCTCAGTTGCTGACAGTGGGGGCTCCTCAGCCTAGAACACACATATTCAAATCCATTCTGGTAAAAGAGAAACAAGGGGTCACTTTCAAAAGAGAAAACCACCAAGTTGGACAGTGGCAATGGCTGTACATTAAGGAAGAGGCTTTGCTTCTAAGAACATTCTTATACCCTTTGTGAGCCCATGAGAGTGCTTCATGCTTGCCTTGACTGGATGTGACCCCCTGTTTACTAAAGGCCTGTACATGTGCTACCACTCGCCATCTTGGAAACCTCAGGTGGCTGGGGCCAGTGGTATCACTTGTCCATGTTTCACAGACGAGGCACCTGAGGCTTCAAGAGACCAAGTACCTCCACCAAGGTCTTTTGCTAGCTGGTGGGCTTCCTGACTCCAAAGCTAGAGCATTCTTTCCATGTCACCAGCCAGCTTTCAGACTGAGCACAACACTGGCTCACTCCAGGATACATTCATGGTTGATAATTCATTTTGAACACACAAGTGGCTACTGTGTTACTGTCATCACTGTAAAACTTAAGGACAGATGAAAACTACAGATGAAAACAGATCAAATGATCTGACTGAAAACGTTCATTCTCTGAGAGGTGGTAAAGCTTACTGGTAAGAGCTTGGGCTGTGCCCTAAATTAGACTAAGTGGCAAAGCCAGTATGCAAATCTGAACCTGTCTGTATACCTTTTGGCAGCTTGCTTGAGCTCTCCAGGGCTCAGTTTCCTTATCTGCAAGATGGTGGGGTGAGACAGCAGTTATTTATAGTATCTGTTTCAAAGAGTAGGAGTGAGAATCAAATGAGATAATGTACATAAAGCAGTGTTGCGCAGCATTTTTTCCCACATCATGGCACACAGAATATGATGGCAAATTGGAATAAACAGATGAAGCTGCAACTGACCCTTGCATCAGTGACCTCCCAGCCCCACTGGCCAAACCAAGGGCCATGGGGAGCAGTGCTTGTCAGCCACTGAAGACACGCCTGTTGGGAAGGGCAGGTGTGAAGCTCTAGAACAGAGCCTACAACAGAGTTAGAGCTTAAGGCAGCCTTTTTAACAACTGGAAAGTTACTATACTTGTCATGCATTCTTTCCAGGTTAGTTTTGTTCCTTCTGAGTATCTATAGCTACATATGTGGCTATTCCCACTTAAATTCATTAAAGTTAAATAAAATTGAAAGTTCAGTTCCTCAGTGGTACTAGCCACATATTAAGTGCCCAACAGCCATATGTGGCTAGTGGCTACTGTACTGTACAGTACAGATGCAGAACATTTCTGTCAATACAGAAATTTTCATTGGATAGCACTCATCTATAGTAATATTATTCTTATGACTCATGGGCATTCCTGAAATCCCCAGGAGAGCGTTGCATTCCCTGAAGGCAAGTCCTATAATCTCTCCAAACTTGTCATCAGTGGAACTCTACCCTGGTGCCCTGCACAGCGCAGGGGCTCAGCCACTGCTTGGGGAATTGGCCCTGCCATGATTCAGATCGCGATCTTCTTGTCTTGCTGCCACCCAGTGTAAAAGACCTGACATCTAAATAAAAGAATCCCAAAGAGGGACACCTACAAAGGAAATCAGGAGTCCCATTCCGACATAAACATAAATAGCTAAAAATTTTTAGTAGAGATTATCCATTCCTGCACAAACCCCCAAACTACATAATCAATAGCTGAGAAAATGCTGATTTTCCAGGCCCATTTGAAATATTATTAATCTGCATCATGAGCAGCCACTAATCAACATAACAAATTGTGAAATCACTATTTATTTATTTGCCAGGAGGAAGCACTCCCCATCACATTTAATCAGATAGGAACAGCTCAATTTAGGGAGTAAATGGAACAAACAGAGATACTTTTTATAAAACACTAAGGATCCAAAAGAAAGCTCAGAAAAGGTTGCTGGCACCTATATCGATTCCAAGATCAAATCTGCCCAAGTACCTTAATAAAGCCTGTCATTACACACTCAGATGCTATAGACAAAATTATGCTTTGGGTCAAAAGAGGATCATTTGTAGGAGTCAGGGAAGAATTTTCCCTTCTCTCTTTACTACTGCATAACTGGCAAGGCGCACTTCTGAGTTACTCATTCATTCATATTCTTTCTGTCTTTTAGAGGTAAAGATTAAGTAAGCCTGTTGCTTGAATGAATGCATGAGAAAGTGGAACCTTATTAAGGACATTCATTTTTTATGGTGCTCATTTTACATCTTTTAGTCGTCTCCTGGTCGCCTAGCACGATGAAGACACACTCCCACTGAATCATAAACACTCTGAATAAGATTTAATTGAACTGCCCTCAACAAAGCCTGCCCTAAACTGGTTGTAAGGATTAGTGAAGCACTTATAAAGTGCCCAGCACAGGGCAGTGCACACAGTAGGAGCTTTGCAAATGGTGGCTACTTTTTATTGTTTTCATAGTGCCCTCAGCATGAAGAATGCAGGAAACATATGCATTAAATATTATTTGAATGATCCCACTAAATCCTTGTATGTTGCTCCATGCTTAGCTTCCCCAAATTTCCAAAAGCCACATGCTGCCTAGCAACAGTTTTACATCCAAATGGAGGACCCAAACAGAAACTGCTACTGGTTTTCTTCATCTTATTTAACTAAACAATTAAATAAACAAACTACTTATATAGAGCTTACTATATGCCAGGCACTGTTCTGAGCTTCCTATATTCAAATAATCCTCACACCAATCCTACAGAAGTGGATACTATTTTTAATCCCTGCCTCATGTGAGGAAAGTGAGGCACAGAAATGTTAAGGTGCCTTGAGCAAGGTCACATAATAAGTGGCAGAGTCAGGATTAGAAATCAAGTATCCAAATTGTGACAACAAAAGACAGATGGCCTAGAAGGTCACCAGGTCTTCAACCTATGTTTGTGAAAACCTTTTCCATAGCTCACCTGGCAATATGTTTAACAGCCACCTGAACTGTTTGTTTAGATCTCACCTTAATATTACAGTATACGCTGGGATCTTGGTCTAGGCAAAGCACTGCAAAAGGACACTTCCCCACCAGATTCAGGGCCTCTGAGCACAGATGTCCACCCTCTATTCCCTAGTCCTACCTTACAAATCCTCCTGGAGTCTTTGACCTTAGCCCTTGGTGTTATCTGGAGTACAGGCCTCTGGACAGCACAGAGGCCAGTTTGGAAGGGGACACTAAGCCGCATGAACAGCAAAGTCTACCTGGTGTGCCCATCCATTCATTCTGCTGCAGTGACGGCCCGTCTCTGTCTCCAGGGAACACTGAGCCGTGGCGCGCCTACTCTGCTGTATCCCTCCTGATACTTGGGAGCTATTACGCTGCCTCTTGAATTTCTCTGTTCTAGGCTGAATAACCCCAGATTCTTCTTCGCAGAGGCGGTATTTCTCAGCCTTCAGTCATTTTCACTGCTCTCCTCTGGCCTTTCTCCAAGATTCTATATCTTGTTTAAACAGTGAAGGCCAGCACTGAGCATGATTTAAGAACAGTTGTGCCTGGAAAAGTAACAAAGTCACAACCAATACAGACTCCAGAAGGTACATATTTCCCCAAGAATACCAAAGTTTTATAATATTAATAATGGTAGTAAGAATTAGGTTGACCAAATAAAATAACTTTTGTTGTTTGTCATATCATTTCCTCTTATTATTGTGGTAGTTTCTGGGAGACTTATCTGTCCCCATAACACTTCTCAGAAGTGACTTTGCTCCTCTGCAAAAAAGCTAAGCTGTTCGTCTTAGTCTCGGTTCTTCTTCTCTCAATACACAAATCTTATTGTCTTGAGAAATGGCCATTTCTTCTCTCAATACCAGCTTCTCCAGAAATATTAATAGTATTTCCTGTCTTGGCTTCTTCGATTTCTTCTTCTTTTGGTAAGACAACCTCCCACCTAGCTGCACTGCCTGTCTCCCCTTGGGTGGATTTCAGCATGTGGGTGCTTGCCCTGGGAGAGGGGTAGGACATGAGAATATGCAGGGCCAGTACCACCTGTGCAGGGCCCTGCCCAGGCCCTCAAATGCAGGACAAAGACCACCCTTCACTGCTGACTCTCTTAGAGCAGCTTGAAGCTGACAATCACAGGTGACCCTGATCAAATTCCACATAACAAATCCCTCTGCTGGCCTTGGGAGCAGGTGGCATAGAGAACTGGACCTTCAAGAGAGGAAGGAATGAACAACACTGAGGAGCTAGCAAAGAAATGTTACCTCAAAAACCCAGATGCCCCAGCGCAGAGCCTGATACCCAGATGCTCAATAAACAAGTTGGCTTTGGGGCCACTTACAAAGCTTGAACGTTCTTTAATATGATATAATAAAGGAGAATGAAGGTGACCACTTAAAAAAGCAAAACAAAATCCTTCTCCCACTTGCCCAAAGCCAACACGGTTTTTCTGGGTGGATTAAGGAGGTATCTGTTCCCCGGCTTGTCAGCCTCATCCTTCCAGGGGAGGAAATATCGGAAGGCTTCAGGGCGGCCATGCACACTACCTGTCCACTTGCTCTGGTCTTTCTCGCCTCCACTCTCTTGGTCCTTAGCAAGCTCCTCTGGATCAGCAGCTGTTTCACTGGGTCCTTCAACATCTTCAATGGCTTCTTCTGAAATAGAAGAAAAACAAAAATGTCAAGGATTAAAAATAGAAAGTAGCACTCTTGGCCCCTGTTCCAAAGACTTACCAATCACAAAACATAGATATCAATGACTCTGAATGACACTGTCCCTTCTCTCTTCCCTGTGACCCCTGAGAGGCTGACTGCACTAAGGATATACTGAAGTTTGGGTGACGAACAGTGATTTTCCTTCTGGATAAACAGTTGGTGTGAGGTTGTGACTTGCTCCAGACGTGTGGCCATTAGGTATTTCCAGATGGATTCTGACTGCTTCACTTGAGCTTTCCTAACTGAAAAATGCTGCTAAAGCAATAGCTCCATGTGCATCCCTAAAGTTGCACGCAAGTCTTTTACACTTAAAAATGCAAAAAAGTAGCCACATGTTCACTTCTTGCCTAGCTCCATCCCCAGAGCGTCCTGGCATTGGCCTAGACCAGCCCCAATCACTGACCCGCATAGGGCTTGCAGTGACCATGCATGTGTCAGACTGTGGCGGGAGTTGTTTGCATTCACGTTCTGAAGAGTCACAGAGTATCAGTGACATGATTTCAGCAGTGTAAATAGTTCTAGAAACCAAATGGCATCTTGTGGGCATGCCAGTAGGCAGTGGTGGGAAGCAAGATTTGCAGAGAGAAGGATAAAAATTTATAACAGAGTCACACACTTTCATTTTGAAGTCGTTCCATTCTTTACTCACTCCTGCTTTAAAACTAACCCAGGAAATGTCTCTTCAGCTGAGCACACAGTGCTATAGTGAAGGAAGAAGAATGACTATTGCTAACACTAGGTTAATTATGAAGTGAAATGCCATCTGCCCAAGTGGGTTAGAAGAGGATAAGATATTCCAGATGCTGAGGGAAAAAAAGGAAGACACTTGTCTCTTGCTCTCCTGGCACTTGGATCATTATCCAAAACATGCATTCAGTAAGAACAGGTTAAATGAATGAATAAAGTAGACAAACCAAGGTGAAAGTCATTTTCGTAAGGATGAAATTATTAGGAGATTTAGAGAGCGTGCCTTCCCAGGTGCAGAGGTCTGAGAGCAGGGATGCCCACATCTGTCACTAGATCAGACCCAGCAGGGACCAGGTATTGGGGTCCAATGTAGAACCATGGATTGGGGCTCTAACACCACCAGAGGTCTCTCCAACCCCCAATTCTACTTTTCAGTATTTCAAAGAGTCATGCCCTCCCTGACCCTCCAGAAAATAGCCTCTAAATTTTATCTCACAAAGGAAGTTAAAAGGAGTACAAAGTAAAGTGATCTCAGATGGTTCCTAAAACATTCAAGGAATAAAGGAAAATCTGATAGATAACTTTCTTCCTTGAATGTTTTACAAACTGTCTAAGATCAGTCAGATTCTCCTAACTCTTCCAGAAGGGATGATGGATGGAGGTCCAAGGACTGGGAAAGCTGAACTAGGTCAGGGAATGTTCTTTCTTCATGACCACCCAGTAGGGGGTTTATGATGTGGTCACTGGAAACAGGGATGAAATAAGTTACTGCTTATTTCCATCTCCCACTAAGGACTCCAGATATAATTTGTCTCCTTTTTGTCTCACTGCATAGTAAAGTTAACATCAAGTCTCCCCACCCTACCTTTAGTTCAAACATGGAAAAAATAAGACAATCATAGCTTGAAGTCAATCAGATATACAGCCTCATATTAACACCATACATCATTTAGCAGAGAAAACATATATAAGTGTTTGTAGAGTAATAACAAGCAAGTTACACAGCATGATATGTGTTCTATCTTAATTATGTCCAGGTAGGAGGTTCCATGCACATTTTTAGGCTTTTAATAAAATTGTTCAACACTGTAATTATAAAATTCATCTATGAATGGTGATCCCAGCATTCAGTCAATCAATATTATTAAATCGAGTCTACACAAATTAGCTAGGTCTCTTAAAATAGACAAAGAGGTAGCTCAGCGGCCCCTCCTCTCTAGCGCACAAACACGTTCACCTTAAATGGAGACAGTCTGACACCTACAAACTAGAGATCACCCTAACGTGATGAACACTGTCTGAAGGTGCCACTTGGCAGAGAAGGGAAGGAATTTACCCGCGGGGAGGCCATCGCCAAGGCCAGCATATTATGTGGCCCGCAGCTATTGGAGCAGAGAGTTAAAAACTCATGGTCACCCGGCACTGACCCCAGTTCTTTGAGCCTTTCCCAACACATGTTTTGAGAAGATAGACACTGTAAAGAAGAAGCATCTCACTGATGCGACGAGCAAGGAAACCACACGGTGCTCTGTGAATATTCCTGGGATATTCTACGAGCCCACCGGGCCTGTGCTTCCTTCCCTCCCTGCCCTGCTGCAAGCAGAAAATGAAGGCAGCTGATTTCCAATGAGAGGATAAATGACAGAGGTTATTTCAGGAACTTATTCTGCTTATCTCCCCTTTTTTTTTTTCAAGATTTACAAATCAAGTCTTCTTCTTGAGTTCCTAGGTTTAATATTATCATTTGTGACTCATTCATTAACAGCATATAACAGCGTGGTGGAAGGAGAAATGATTAGGAAAATCCTGGATAAGCCAGCTCCCTTTACAAGGGGATCAGCATCCTCACCCCCACTTAAAACCCAGGTCCCATTCTGCTGAGCAGGCGCATCCCTGCAGTTCCACGCGTGACCTACAGGTGTCGCCATCTGCATGGCGAGGCCTGGAGGGGCAGCTGGCGACGGGAAGCAGAGGAACCTGGGCCACCTAACCTGAGCATGTGGAAATAATGTATGTCTGCAAGTGAACTGTCAGGTCCTGGAGAAATAAAAAAGGACCTTCATAAGCACTTACGCCATCTGTCTCTATACCATCATCGTCAACAGCAAGAGGAAAAATAGCTCTTTAAAATGGATGAAAGCCCAGGCTGACAGTAACCAGAAAACTGTGAGCTCTGAATACCAATAAAGGTAGAGAAATGATTAAAAACAGGGATACAAGCGGCAATTTCTTCTGGACAGCTCAAGCCCACGATGCTTTGCAGGCAGGGTGTGTTGTGTTGGTTCCAAAAGCATAAAGCAAGCCCCCTCCCCAAAAGCCAGGCCTCAGACACCCACGGGAAGGGCTTGAGGTCTCCCGGCACTGGACATACGTGGGAAGCAGGAGATGGCACCCGGCTCTCAAGCGGAGAACCATGTCCAAATGTTAAGCTCCTGGGTTTGTTCTCTAGCCCTGTTCCCTTTAGCAATGTATATTTGATACACATGTGCTGACAGAAAGGAGGGGAGATTTTCCCCCCATAGATTGCATTCCCCTCACCCCCGAGTCAACGGCAACGGGCTGGGGTCATTATAGAAGGCGAAGATTTTTTTCTTTTTTTTCCCTATAATATCAGCTACTGACAGATGGTAGGAACAAGTGAAGACTTGATAGAATGATCATCAGTTTTATCTGGAAAATCCTGTCTTTCACTCAGGGGAAGAGGCTGCTTTCCTGCTTTCCTTCACCAAAGCACACAACAGCCACCATGCCATTTTGAAGGCCAAAATAGACAAATCAAAACCATCTTCTCCTTAAGGCATTTAATAATATTTCAGATCCCAGCCAGAGCACACCAGGAATGCTTTCCCGAGGGCGTGGCCAGGACCTGAGAAGGGAGGTCATGTCCACTCCCCTCGCTCTGCCCTGGCTCTTGGCAAGAGGTAGCAAGCCCAGTGCCTCCCAGACAGATCTGTGTTTTAGAAGATGCCAGAGAAGGGGCCTTTAAAACCCCCACAGAAGCCCACTTCAATGGTTATATACCACAGCAGCCCTCAAACTAGGGCGCCCCCTCTTGTTTGTATGTATTTGTGCATTGAAGAGCTAGCGAAATAGAAGCAAATTCTTAAAAGACTTGGAGGTCTTCCTAGTGTCCCTCTCTGCCTTTCACTTCCGTGTAAAACACTGACTGAAGTCCTTCAAAAACTCTTTTTCCAGCACCACCTCCTTGTCCCAGGCAGCATTTACCAGCACTGGGCCACACCCAGCCTACACCTCTCCCAGCGCTCACGTCTCGTGGCTAAGGGCACAGCCCTCAGGTGTAAGAATTCCAGCACGTAAATGTATTCTGAAAGGGAAAGGTTCCTAAGACAGCTTAGGTTTTTAAGGGGATGATACCACAGTCCCAGAAAATTTCCCTTCAATCAAGGTGGTTTTGCTTACCACAAATGCAAATTGTTCTCCTAACAGACCTTACACTTAGCATCTGGGTAAAGGTGATTGCATGGCTCCCCCATCTGTGGTGAAGTCTGCTCCTGACGGAGGCGCGTGTGCCAACTGGCAACCCGTGGGGATTTGTAACAATTTTATGAACAACCTGGAAGTTGGTTTGTGGAAGAAGCACCAGGCGGAAGCCAAAAATAGAGGTGGCATCGTCACGAAGTCAGCATTCAGCCCCACTGCACACACTCCCTGAATGTGTCACGTCACCCAAGAAAACACTCCACTTAAAAAATGGTACTGTTCCTCTAAATAACGGGGGGCCTAGCGACACGTCCATTGGGGGTATTTTACAAATTCTTACAGGTTTGAAGGAAAGGGGAGTCAATCAATGATTAAGACTAGTCCCTCTGTTCCTAACTCTTAACAGGATAATGCAGATTAATTCAAACCTTCCCCAAACCTGACAAAGCCCCCACAGTGCCTCGATGTGATAGAAATTTGGAAATTCTCCTAAGAATCAGGGTGTCTGTACCCAAGGCTCTCACGTGATCATGTTACTTAAATAATACACCAATCTGTGATCCCCGAAGAATGAAATTGTTCTTTCCTTTTTCTTTGGAGGGAGCGACGTTTGAGGGTGGGGGTGAAATAAAGTGCGTTTGCCTGTCGGCAGGCTCAAGAGCTGAGAAACATTAGCTGTCATGAACCACAATCAAATCAGGTTTGAAATATTTAGCAGTGGCTTGGAAAATGCGGCGGTGCAGCTCTGACAGGCGAGATGTGCACAGACACCCACTTTCCATTATAATGGAAATATCAGGCCTGTTCTGAAT